TAGAGAATCGAATGATTTTGTAGTGTTTGAGTTTTTATGTTCGAGTCGCACAGAGCTTCTGTATTCAGCTAAGTGCTTATTCATTTTCCTCATCGCTTAAGTGAGCATTACATGTGCACTATTTTGCAAGGAGATAGGTGGGGCGAAGGTTTTCCTGGTGGTTGATGTGACTCTGTGTCACTTGCTGTATTCAATGAAATTCTTACAGTTGCTTAAGAAAACTGGTCGTTATTTTCTTGCATGGTTTACCTCTTCTCTTGTGTCAATTAGGAGAGATAAATAATGTGATGATTGTTTTGACATTTGATTAATTCTAGCAGTGGAATTCGTTTAACCAATCAGCTTAGCTATCTTGCAAAGTTTTGAATCGTTTGGTATTCAGTTATCGTTCAGTTTTTGTTAATATGTGCACAGTTTGAAGTCCATTCGCTTCTAACTCATGAACTGATATTTGAACATCAGCCTACTTTTCTCGCGACCCATTTCCTGCGTCATAATCGTAACCATACTTCCAACTAAACTTATACTTCGAGCTTCCTGTTATGTGTGAGGAGCTTATTCGTAATTATTTGTCCACTTTTTATCTTGTTTGCGTTTTCTACATGAAGTACTTTGACAGAAATCATAATTATCACGAGCCCAAGTTGTTAGTGGAACCAAATCTCGTAATTGGTGCTCAAACTAGTCCGGTGCTTCATACTCGTTAATTGTTCTGAGAGCAGCACTTCAAGAAAAAGATGCTGCTTTTGTTTTAGTATAGGAAACGATTCAATATATTCAATCAATATTCATCAACAGGACATTTCTTTGCCTTTTCTTTGTGCTACGACACTTGTTGTCCGGGGCGGTGTTAATCCTTCGGGATAGGTTTAAACTACCGTCTTCGCAAAGCAATTGTTTTTAATCTGACCAGATGCGAGGTGTGAAACACTGACAACACATCAGTAGGAAGCAGTTCCCTGTTGGGTTATCATCATCACTTGAAATGAAATCACCTTGGTGCAGAATTTTTTCCTCCACCTCATTATCTGCATCTAATCTTCGTTGTGACAAGGGTTCTCTTCATATCCATTCATCGGTACGAGTGTCGAAAATTTTGGCCAAATTTGCGCGAGGGCGATTTTGACTTCATTGGTGATGGGTCCGGCCGAGGCTTTAACATCAACATTCCGCTAAACAAGGTGAGTTGTTTATCGCCTACATGCAAATTGCAAGATCTCTAAAGTGTGGATTACAAAACCCGGCGTTTTACTTGCAGACCGGAATGACGGATAGTGACTACTTAGCCATCTTTCACACCCTAATTATGCCTATCGCATATGAGGTAAGAATTCTGCTTATGTTATTTTAGTGTTAATTAAAGTGGGTTTTTGTATTTACTTTTTTGATATCTTTCTAGTTTGATCCAGAGATCGTGCTCGTGTCATCCGGTTTTGACGCGGCCATCGGAGATGCTGAGGTAGGAAATCACCTGTGTACCAACCGAGCGAAAGTAGACGTGCTTTCATTTGTGGTTGTTCTTTTCAGGGCAAAATGTGGCTTAGTCCTGCCTGCTACGGCCACATGACGCATCAGCTTCGCACCCTCGCTGGGGGAAAACTTGTAGTTGTTCTTGAAGTAAGCTTCTCATTGACATGAGGCGCTGGTTATGTGTTTAGATTTGCAGAATTTTATCGGTTTTCGCCGGGACTAGAACTTAATCATCACTACAATCGCCTTACATGATATTAATTTTCTAAGGCGCTGACAAGTTTGATC